TATTATTTTGCCAGCCTTTTAAATATGGTCATTGATTTCACATATTTCTTTACACATCGGAGTGTGTAAATATAATACCATATATGTATTGCATATATTCCCTTAATAGTCACTATTTATTTTAAGATTACATAAAATGAGTTTTAGCACAAATTAAATTTGACTAAATTAATTAAGTAATCTTGAATACTCCTATTCAGGGTCTCAAAAAACGCAAAAGAGGAGAAAGGCAAATAAAATCTGTTAATGCACAGGAGACAGCCTTTTCTCACTATTGAGGAGGAGATCACACATTAAATCAAGTCACAAGACATACACAGGCATATACACACACGTATACACACAGGAAATGTTTCTGATAATGGAATTTCATATTTTAGCTTTTCCTTGTCTTTTGTCAGGAGGAACATTACTGAGTACACATTTAGAACCATGATTCCTGTGTTGGATTAACTTGATAATATATGTCATCCAACTTCTTAATTTCCCAAGTGAGGAAAAAAGAAGTTAACTGTGGTACTCAAGTTAAAGCATAGTTTAGTCATAACTAAAAATCACTGGTCTCCCAGTCCATTACTAACATCTTTAGAAATAATTACTATAGTTGGCCAATAGGAATATTTGAAGTAGTGATTTCCTACAAGGGGAAAAATAAAAAAATTTTAATGTTTTTTCCCCAAATAAAAAAATAATATAATTTGGACTTCAGTTCTATACAAATTTACTTAAAAGGGAATGAAACCAAAATTTAAATAACAATTATCATGTAAGCACATTAAAGAGACAGCTATATGTTTCTCCTCAAACTGAAATGCTGATTCATTTTTTGAAATTACTTTATATAAGATAAGCAATAATATCCGTAAGAATAACAAGGACTAAATTCCTATATAAACACCAATCCTATACTATTAATAACATGCTGTTTTAAAACTAATTCATAGGAATTAAAGCAGAGAGCACTGTCTCGTTTTTAATTACTAGTACGTGAGTTGAGCATCTCTAATCTGAAGTTTTAAATCTGATATGAGTGCCACATAGAAATTTCACCATAATATTTTATTTAATACACAAAATTACCCTTGGGCAATGCGTATAAGGTATATATGAAACAAATTAATTTTAGGTTTAAACATGGTTCTCATCCTCAAGGTATTACATTTTGTGTATGCAAAGATTCCAACCTTCTTTCTCTCCCCAAACAAAATCTAAAATCTAAAATACTGGTCCCATGTATTTTGGATAAAGGATATTCTACCAACATAAACAGTAATCTCTTAAATTCTTGAAAACAGCATATAATAATGTTTTCTAAACTAACATAATATTTCCTTGCATGATTTAAAAATTTAATAATAAAAATTAATGGTCATCTCTGAGAGGGAGCATGGGAGCATTAGGAAATTAAGATCTTCATCTGAACCTGGGTGGTAATACCAATATTTACTTTACTATATGTATAGTTTATATGTTAGACCTCAACAGAAAAGTTCAAAACACACACAACACACAAAACAAACCAGAAAGCAAGGAAAATAGACTTAGTTCTCATGGTACCTGATCTTGATTGCTCTCTAGAGCCATTACTGACAGCTCTAAGAAAAACAAAACATACAGCTAGTTCTTTCTATTTCCAGGGCTAAAAAGGAGCTTATAGACTATCAAATGTACAGTGGTAGAGCTCCAAAAGAATTCCAAAGCAATGCTCATATATTTTTATATATATGGAAGCTGTCTCATCATGAGGTGATATACTTAAAGTCTGTGCTAGAGAGGGTCTACTAATTGAGAAGTTAGAAACAACAATGACTCCTAAAGAAAGTAAACTAGGAGATTATTACAAATTTCACTGCTCATGTTATTTAAATACTTCTGCCAAATACATTTTTTTTTTGAGAGAGAGAGAAAGATTTTTTAATATTTATTTTTTAGTTCTCGGCAGACATCTTTGTTGATATGTGGTGCTGAGGATCCAACCCAGGCCGCACACATGCTAGGCGAGCGCGCTACTGCTTGAGCCACATCCCCAGCCCCGCCAAATACATTTTCAACCAATGGTTTACCAACATTTAAAATTAAAACAATATCAACTCCTTTTCTCTCATGTTGGCTTACATTCTAACTGCCAAAAAGACCTTACTGAAATTTACAAATATTGCCCATATTCTTTCCTGGCAAAAGCTTTTATTACCTCTTACTGGACTAAGGTGAAGTCTTTTAATTCCGTTTTCTCTAAGAAACCCACATTTTCTAGATTGTACTATAGTTATTACTATATTATACCCTTACCTGTCCTGCATAATCCTTCTCCACAAGATTCTATTCACCTGCACCTTTAGTTAACTTTTTGCAAAAACTTGAAAGGTTTCAATTGCTTCATTATGAGTAGAATGATCTGAATAAGATGGCAAGAGCTTAATTTCAAGCTGATTTGTTAACAATATAACTCAACCAAAATAAAAGCAAACTTCCCCAAATGACAATTTAACAGAAATTTTAAGGAAAAAAAAAACATATAAAAGGCAGCTAATAGAAAGATTAAAGCATGTGGCAGCTGGTGAGAAAGAAAAGAAAACCAAAGAGATACTCCAGCAAGACATTTGAAAGAAGACACTATTTAGGTAATGGGAACAAGGGCTGATCTCAGAATATATATGGATAAAAAGATGAAAACAAATTTCATATAGAGCTTGATAACTACAGCCATTACCTTCCTACAAATACTGTTGGTGTCATTATTAGATAAGTATTTGTCCACTTGAATTATTCCAACAGTAACAGGAAATAAAATTTGAAGTTTTTTCCCAATAGAAAAATAGAAAATTGTAATATTGCTGATTACAGAATAGAATTCCTTCCATTGCAATTAAGAATAGCCTCATTCTATGGAGAATTTGCTTTGTGGTTAGTGAGAGAAGAGAACTAATAGTCATTGACCATCATCATCTTAATATTACCTCATGTAATGTACAAAACCATCGTGAAGTTTTGTTTTATTTTGTACCAGGGATTGAACCTAGGAGAACTTTACCACTAAGCCATGTCCCCAATCCTTTTTTATTTTTTGAGACAGGTCTTGCCAAGTTGCTTTGGCCCTCACTAAGTTGCTGAGGCTGGTGATTACAGATGTGTGCCATGGCACCTAGCCATCATGAGATATTATTGTTCTTATTTCATAGAACTGAAGCACAGAGAGTAAAGACATTTTCATATTCCTCTATCCAATGACTTGTATTCAAGCCTAGACTGACTTAATTCAGCAATCAAGAATAAATCACCAAAGGATTGGGAAGGTGGCTTAATGGCCAAGTGTTTGCCTCACAGGCATGAACCCCTGGGTCTGATCGCCAGAACCACAAAACAAGATGACTAATCAAAAAACAAACAAACAAAAAGCCTTAAATAAGAATAACTCCCCTAAAAATAAACATTTTTAGTAATTCAGTGAAGATATTATAATTTCCAAGATAAAATTTCCAAACAGTTGCAATGAAATGGGAAAATGCAATCAAGCTACCAACCAACACTTCAGATTTTAATAATTACCCTGATTTGCAGACAGGAATATTCTTCTAGACTTGTATTTACTTAAAGTTACAAATCAATTAAAGGACTAAAAAATATTACTGTGTAACACTACATTGCACACTGGAAAACACTCCCAGGCCAGCAGAGAGAAACCTTGCATTAGCTGCTAACCTATCATGAACTTGAATGCATACTTACTCCTCCTATTGATTACAAAGGGGCTAAGGAGGTAGAACCCCATTAGTGATGCTCAGTTGATATTTCTAGGTTTTAGACAATGCCAAATACATAGTAGGTACTCAGATATTTCTTGAATGAAAAGAAATAAACATTCTTGAAACACTGATCTATTTAAGACATAGTTCTTGGCCATGTAGGTTCTTCCACTTCACTGGAATCATAATGATGACCAAAAAAGGCTGGTGTCTCTATTCCCATTTCAATTGGAAATGGAGGTCAACAATTGGCCTGGGTGAGTGAGGCACAAAATCAGGCACCCAGGATTTAAAGAGACTGATGAACCCAAGTCCCAGCTCTTTCCACATCATTTTCCAAAACTTGTAATTTTGTACCCATTGCTTCAAGTATGATTTTTGAAAAGCCGTCAAAAAATAAATAAGTATGTATCTTAGACTTAGTAGTTTGGTTGCTTTACAATACTTTCTGGGACTAAGCAATACTATTAACCTATTAAATTTTCCTTACTAGGAAGATACGGAAACTTGAGATATAGCAAAGTAAATTACAGGACTATGAAACAACTTATCTTCAGAGCTTTTGAAAATAATGGCATCTCTAGGAAATCAAAAGGAATGAGAGCTCTGCTGCGTCAAAACATTTTTCCTACAATAAAAAGTACTCTCTAACAGCAACTGATAGATCAAAGACATCTTTCCTTCTCGTAATTCTCAATAAACCGCTCGAAATCCCATGGTGTAGATCCACTCTGTCACGATTCATTAAACAAGCCAGCCAATCTGTTTCTTACACACTGAACAAGTCGTCAAGTGCTGTATTTCCAAACCTACATTTCTGAATCTTTTCATACCAACGCTTGAAAAACCATATAATCAAGTAAGAGACGGAAATATCCTCTAATTAAATCTGTAATTCTCTAAAGTAGCTTAAAGGAAAGCTTCAAAAAGATTAAATTTACCTGGACTCACTTGAATTTGAAAAAGAAGTGTTCAGCAGTAGCACCAAGTAAGAAAAGCGGAAACAGAAGTGGAGTGTGAGACCTGGCTGTAAAAGCCAACATTCTGTACCATCTGTGGCAACTGTTAAGTTCAGGCCCTCAATGTGACACCACTGGGACTGTTAGCAAGGGGTACGTCTCCTAGAAGTCTAAATTGAGTTTCATAACTAAAATGGTTTAATTTCAGATCCCCCACCTAAAACTGGTTGATGGGGGAAAATCATACCCACTGCTCAGATGAGAAAAAGTGCGCGCTTTCAGGTCACACGTCCCACGCCCTGCGCACAGCGTTACGTGGAACGCTCGCGGTTCCCGGAGGTGGGTGCCCGGTGGGCTGGGACGTGGACTGTGGGGAAATCAGCCTTGAGAGGTGCGAGGCCTCTAGAGAGGGCAGGTAGGACCGGCGAATTTCCCTCCCGAGAAGGGAATTTCACCATTGGGGGTGTTCCGGGCCGGTGCCTCACAGGCCCCTCTCCCACGCGTGAGCGCGCCATGGCAAGGGTTACAAGCCGAACCGGCTCCTGGTCGCGGTTCCCGCATCCCAGAGGTCACCCTGACCCGGAAACAGTACCCTAGAGCGGCGGTCGGCCGTGGGGGGAGGCGAGCTGGAGGGGCGCAAAGAAAGGTGGGAGGGCGGGAAGTGGGGGGCGAGACAGAGGGCTGACGGGGAAGGGCAGGTGACACCCTAGGGCTGGGGCTGGGGTCGAGGTGGGGATTGGGAGAGGAAAGCCCCTCGCGGGCGCGCGCAAGCCAATACACTCACCTGCCCCTCCCCCTCCCCGCCCGGCGGAGGCTCCGAGCTGCCGCGGGCCGCGCGCGCACACGAGGCGCGCGCGCGGCTGCCGTTCGTTTCTTCGAGCTCGCGCTCCGCCTTTTCAGTCCCAGCCCCTCTCATTCAAAGCCGGGCGCGCGCTCCGTCGCAGCCGCCGTTGCCGCCGCGCAGCTGCCATGGCCGCCCCCTCTTCGGGAAACCCTCCCCCAGCCCCTCCCTCTCGCCCTCCTTGAAGGCGGCTCTCGGTTGTCTCTAGGCGCTCACTTCCGCACCCCGCCCCAGGTGCTGTCTGGTCCAATAGGCAAGAAGCTGTGGGTCTGGCGTCGGAACTGGAAGCCAATGAATGTCGAGGGGCGGGGCGAGCGGCAGCCTGCCTGCGGAGGTTTGGTCACGGTTGGGTTTTTGTGACTGTTGTAAATTGTGTGGGCTTTTCCACTGGAGCTCCTGGGTTTGCGCTAAGTTGTTCTACTTTCCTTGTGTGTACTGTACCTCCCAATCAAACCCTTTTCTTTTCTGTCCCACCCACAGAATCCCAATGCCAGACGGTACTAAGGAAAGGAGCATCTATTTTGCCAAAAAATGAGAGCGTCCCCCTCTGTCCCAGCATATTTGGGATGTGGCCAGGACAGGGCCTAGTCCTGAGGGATGCTAAATGCTGAGTTTCATTCATTGGCCTCTTCCGCTTATTTATTTATTTATTTTTACTAAATTTTCTTTTATATATGTACATATTCTAGTTGTAGATGGACACAATCCCTTTATTTTATATATTTGTTTTATACGTGGTGCTGAGAATCGAACCCAGTGCCTCGCATGTGCAAGGCAAGTGCTTTACCATTGATCTACAACCTCAGCCCCCTAAATATTCTGCAACTGAAAGTAAATATGTTATATTTCACTTGAGTTCCTTCATTTGTACCTCCATTGCAACCAGGGCTGGCCATTCTGCCAAGTTGTGTCTTTTTAGTTGTTCTGTCTTTGCAACCTGATTTAATAATTATTAATAATAATCACCACCCACTCCCCCCACGCAGCACTACCACCATCACCTTCTCCCCTCTCTTTCTCCCTTCTGTATTTTCTCTTATCCCATGCTTTAAAAACCTGGAGTTCTTTCCTCTTGTTGGCAAGGGACACTGAGAAAACTGTTGCAGATTGGTGAGGAAGGCTTGAAGTTTATATGTGTTGTCGAAGGCTGAAAACAGTTTATGCAGATTGTTGCTCCACTAGCTTTTTTCTTCAAATATCTCCTTTTAAAAAACTACTACTACCTTTGTTCTCTCACCCTGACCCAGAACTGACCTACTTATCTCTGTAGTAATCTTCCCCCACCTTCCCCATTCCAACCTACTCCACATTTCTATTAATATTTTTATCTCCAAGGAAGGAAGTGAATTTAACTCTTACTCAGGTTCTGTGTAAACATAGATAAATTATTTAATCCCTTAGTCTCAGTTTCCCATCAGTAAAATGGCCACAATAGTGCCTACTTCATAGATTGCTAATGCTTGCAAAGCTGTTAGCACATAGCAGGTATTCACAGATAATAGCTGTTACTGCATTACTGGTATTACACTACATCTTTTAACTATACCTCCCCAAATCCATGAAATTCTCTGTAGTCCCTTAACTGCCTGCTCTAACTTTTATATCTTATTTTGCCTAAATTCCAATAATCTGAAATTTCCAATACTTTTTGGATTCCCCAAATCCAATAATCTTAACAACAACAACAAAAATTAAACCAGGGATTGAACCCAGATATGCTCTTCCATGGAACCAAGTCCCTATCTCTCTTTATTCTCTTTTTTTTTAAATTTTGAGACCGGGGTTCACCCAGTTGCTTAAGGCCTCACTAAATTGACAAAACTGGTTTTGAACTTGCTATCCTCCTGCCTTAGCTTCTGGAGCCGCTGAGATTAGAGACATGCATCAATGCACCTGGTTATAAATATTTCAAATTTTTTTTCCTTGAAGACTTATATCTTGGCTTCATGTGCCCCATGGCATTTTCTTTCTTTCACAATTCTACAATTTTCTTTATTAAATTTGACAGTTCCACATGAAACAAAACAAAGATATGTTTCTGGAGAAACAACTAGTTACAGAATACTTATTTCCCAACACAATAACAAATAGAGAACAACAAAGCTTGCTAAGGATTTCAACAAGTTTTATATTAGAAATACCTATGAGAGAATATTTTTAAGTCTTCTTTACTTGTTGAGTGGTAACCCCATAATTGGAGATTATGGACGTCAGTAATTTGGAATCTTGCTTGGGGATCACCTCTTCGGAATGTGCAGTCTTGTCCTTTGCCCAAACCTGTGGGAACATCTGCAGGGCAGTACCAAATGTCAAATGGGAGAAACATAAAGGATAGAACTTAGTTTATGAAAAAAATAATGAAAATTAAAGAACTTAGTAAGTGAAAGATATTTTTCTGGATTGCTTATATTCATGGGGTATAGTTAATTCTGCCTTCTGTGTGCACAAACTATTTTAGCCACTTTAAAGTATCTGATCAGCCTCTGCCCATCTCCAGTTTGATTTATTCGGGCTATTAGCTTTTAAGCCACATCTTAGTCTCCCTCTTCAAAACCTGCATAGTCTTTGTTGTTCTGAGTTCTCCAGCTGGTGCTGATTCCTATATGGTCAACTGACCCTGCCTAGGAGGTTGGAGCAGACCTTGAAAACACAGTTCTGTGCTTACAGATTTTCCTCAGACCCAGTTCCCTGGCTCTTCACCAAAGGTGTTTTTTTTTTTTTTTTTCCCCTCTGCTCAAGCACAATTTAGGCCTGCTAATCTGACTTGGACTTTAATGGGTTTTTATTAATGAGCAGCTGTTCATGATTGAATACAGATCCTAAAGTCATTTTTTTGATCAAGCAAAATAAAACCTTGCAGCTCATTAGAGTGATGGCTTTGAACAGATACATTTGAAAGTATAGAATTTTCTTATGATAATTTTAATGGATAAGTTTTATTGCTCTTTCTGCTAGAGAAATGTCCTTGCTTTCAAAATAATAAACTTTAATATTCTGGAAAATTGTATGATTTTTTTATATTGAAAATCACCATTTAATAGTTAAAGTCAATTGCTGGGCTGGGGATTTGGCTCAAGCGGTAGCGCACTTGACTGGCATGCATGCGGCCCAGGTTCGATCCTCAGCACCACATACAAACAAAGATGTTGTGTCCGCCAAAAACTAAAAAAAATAAATAAATAAAAAATAAAGTCAATTGCTTAATAAAGAAACAAGACTGAAGAAGCCTTTTAATTTCTGTGCCACTAAATGAAAATTAACTTTCCATGAAACATTTAAGTAAATATTTTCCATCATAATTGTTACCACAATCAGTAGTTTTTATTGCTTAACACAGGACCCAAGATTTAAGAAAAAAATGAGAGTTAACTAGTTCCTTCAAAAGGGACCTGCATTGAAATGGGGGAAAAAAATGTACTTTTTTTTTTAACTAGAAAAGTATTCAAATTAAAATATGGATGAATTCTCTTTCTATGTCCAGTAGTGAGATTCAGAAATGGAATACTACTTGGCTAATGTCCATATTGTTAAAAGAGCTATCATATAGTTCAGCTATATTATGATTTAAGTAGATTTGATATGAACAAGATCTGCAGTCTAAGACCTTTTATTATTTTTATTATTTGTAAGAATAAATATTTTTATTATTTCTAAGAATAAATGTGTTGAAATAATATAATCCATATTGTATATGAGTTGAAAATTTAAAACAATACTGAACTAACAATGGAAGACTCATCCCTTCAGCTTCACAATATGGTGGTCATTTCGACTGTGACCTTGAACAAGTTTGACTCAGTCTTCTCATGGGCAAAATTAGGTTAATAATTCCTTACATGTGGATTTATTTTGCAAATTGAATGTCATAAGTATTGGAATTGTGTTGGAAACATAGTGATAAAATCAATGAAAGCTTCCAGGTATACAGGTTTATCATCTTCAAGTCCAGTAGAATCCTCTGGAGCTTATAAAAAGAAATGGTGCTTTCAAGAAAAATACAAGTAAATTTTCCTTCATCATCAACCAATAAAAGACATGTTTGTCAATAGCTCATTAAAAAAGGGAAAAGGGAGGGAACAGTAAGCTTTGAAGCTGTAAAGCCAGAAATCAACCCTCTCCCCTTGGCCTCCTCCCACTCCTTTGACTTAAAAGTCATAGGATTGAAAAGAAGCTGTTAGGACTACAGCATTACAACACTTCCCTCTCTTCAGGCTTCTCTCACCATTCATAAGATATTTTTCTTATAAAAGCATTTACTGCCAAATTTTGTCTGTTCTTTCCGTGTTCATTATTTCAGCACATCCAGATTATCATAATGATCCCTAACTAGAGTTGTATATTATTTTTTCATTCATCTAAGTCACTTCAGTGCTTTGTTGTCCAATTACTCTAATTTAAAAATACAGCCTTCTTTATGGTAATTTTTCTGTTCAAGATTTGTTCACCACTGTCCATCAATTCATCACTTAGGAGGATGTGTCTTGATGGTAGTTCTTTTTAAGTCAGAATTCCTTCCTTCCTTCCTCCCTCCCTCCCTCCCTCCCTTCCTTCCTTCCTTCCATCCTTCCTTCCTT